AGTCCATAACCTTTTTTGTTCGCCACAGAAAACTCTACAAATGAAACTTCAGAGAATCCATCTCTCCTCTGAAGTTTTATTTGCTTCTTTGCAAGAAGTCCAGTTATTTCATGTGTCGCACCATTTACTGAAAACAATACGAATAATAGTTAGAATCTATTTTCAACAGCAACAATATTTAAATTCAATATCAGCAATAAATAACTCAATCCTTCAGGTCAGTAACAATTTGAATTTGATAACAATATAAATCGCAATACACGATAACAGTATACAACAAATGCAGAAATAACATGCAGGTTAGCCTCGCTATAATGAAATCAGGATATAGTGAGCAGTCCTTTGTAGTGGACGCTTTTGTGGTCTCATACGAAATGCTATTTTAAACTAATTTTTTTTCTCATGTGACTGTGAAAATTATGACTTTCAATTCAAATGACTTTCAACTCAAATGAAATACACAATGAGTTAAAATAAGTAATTTTGTTGGAAAATGAGTCATATTAAAAATGTGTAAATAAATCATTTTGCTCGAAACGAGTCATATTTAAAATGCTTAAAATGATTCAATTCGCTAGAAAATGAGACATATTTTGCTCAGTAAATTAATTGGCTGATAAAAACAAGCACATTGGAGAGCGAGTAAGTTTGCCTTTTACTTACAATTATCTTCAAAAATAACGAAAATCATAAAGATAAAGTTATAAAAAATTCCAAAATGTAAGAAAATCGGGAAGCAAAATATCGAAACATTTGTTTTAAGGAAACAAATACTTTGTCAAATGGGGAATATTTTGAACGTTAATGAAAGAAATTAGCTGTAGAAAGACTATTTAGATTTAGTTATTCAATAATTTATAAAGCAAATTTCGTACAGTTGTACTCATTTTTTCCAACAGCACTACTGAATATTCTTCAAAGATTTTAGATATAGGGAACAATCATTCATACCGAACTTATAGGTTGGTCTGAAGGTGGGTCACTGTAGCGTTATATAGCATATAGCACCTTAAAAGCGTTGCTTTATGTACTACATTTTTCATAACTTGAGTATACTCTTTGCGCAGATCGAACAGTTTTTCAAAATTTAATTTTAAAGAGGATCAATTGCCAATATTTTAAAAAGGCTCAATAATTCATAACTGATACTTGAATTATTTTAAAGTAGTTGTGGGTAAAAACCCTTTAAATTGAATTTGCTAAATCAAGAAACATACTATAAAAGACTACCACTCGAAAATCCGGGTGTCCGCTGTCCGGAGTAAATTGGCGTCTCTGCGAAAGCTAATTTTTCCCAACACTTGATCCAGGAGTTTTGTTACCTTCTGGATTGGATACAAAACTACAAGACTACGAATTTGAACATTGATAGTCGTCAACTCAGAAATCGACTGTTCAACTCCGGTTATAGAAACTGTGGAAAAAAAGCATAAATGCCATCGAAATCTGATGTATCAACCATGCAGGTGACGAAAGAAATAAACAATAAAACTGGTTTGATTGCAGGTGGAAAAAGAGAAAACCGAAAGACAATTATCAGAAATACTTTCAAGTTTCAACCTGCAATAAACCTGTTTCGATGTAAGTTACACCCCCTTTCCTCTACTGCAATTTGATAAATTTCGTTTTGCTCCCCCCCCCCTCCCAGCTTCAATAAGGATCTTCGACCCCTCTCCCCATATGTATAGATTTTTGCATTCCTTTTAGATAAGAATTCTAAAAATACATATCGAAAGCTGTTTTAACAGGACACCCCATATAACAGGAATCGAGAGTATTTGCCTGCAATTTTATTTCTTTCATAAATCCAGAACCAGTTGTGATAGATGATCTTAAAATTCGGACAGAAAGAGCAAATGGGCAATTTCGCTCTTAAATTTCGTTCATAAATTTCAATCCGTTCCAGGAAGAAGGGGTACGTTTGAAAAGTAAATTTTTTTTTCTATAAATGAAGCATTGTTAAAAATAAATAAATCTTTTTGTTAAAGGAAAAATATTTAAAAATAACATCAGTGAAATTCGCTAGTTTTTCGGTTAGATCAAAATGTTATTTCACCGAGAGTTTATTGTACGTTAATATAAAATTATTTACTTTCGATCATGTTAGGTAATCAATGGTTAAATGTCAGCAGTATTTTTTTTAAAAATTTTTTATAAACGGCGTAGGACTACCGACTTGATTCTGAGTTAACGACTATCAATGTTCAGCTCCTTCGCTTTTATAACTTTGAACCCAACATAGAGGACAATGTTACTCCTGGATCAGTGATGGATCAATGAGGTGGTCCGGGTTCGAATTCTAACTATATACAAATCGATACATATGGCTCACTGGTAGACGAATTGTGAGTTAGAGTCCCCATCCTGTCAGGCTAATCGTGGGAGGTTTTCCTCTCCGTGTGACGCAAATGCGGGTTAGTTCTAGCAAAACTTCTTCCGCGAAGGTAAATGTTTCCCAATACTTAACCCAGGAGTTTCCTTGTCTTCTGAATTGGGTTACAAATTACAAAGCTGTGGAGTTGAATATTAGTAGTCGTAAGCCCATTGTGTGGTCCGGTGTTTGATTACTGTTAAGAAGTTGGACAAAGTAACCTTCGTGGAAGACGTTTCGATGGAACTAGTCCGCACTAGCGTTATATGGAAAGGACAACCACGAAAATCTCCTGGATGGGGACTCTGACCCATGATTAGTTTACCACTGAGGATACTTTACGTCAGTACAAAGGTCGGCGCGAATATCTGTTGAAACGGAGAATGCAGGACTGTTAACGCTTTATGGGAATTTTTTTTCCAGTGGTTATAATATATGATACTTTGTTTAGTAAATTAGATAAAAAGCTATTTTAAGCACAACTTCATATCAATGTTTTAACCTTTTCGCGCCGACTGTCACAAATGCGTGACAGAATAAAAACGTATTAATCAGGGTAAGAAGATAAAACTGGTAATCAAAGTAATTCTTTAGCAATTTATTTGTGGGTGGGGTTATAATTTTTTGATTTATTTTAGTCACCATTACTTTGTTCAAAATAAAATTATTTAGTTATACTTTGAACTAACCTTGATTATATATATGAATAAACTAACAATAATTAAAGTAATAGCAAAGTAAACTAAGGTAAACAACGTTAAAGAGCACAAAAATATTATTAAAAGTCTATTAAATTAGCAACGCCTGCATTTAAGCTACCGTTTTTTATTTATGTACATCCAGATTCTGATTTTGTACGAATGCTTTTAAGAATCACCCGTCCCCAAGGGGTTAATAGTTAGTACCACTTGGTTTTACATTAGCCGAGTTCCCACGAAGTGAGCCTCTTAAAAAAGTTAATAAATTTTGAAGGTCTCAACAAAATATATTGAAAATGGCGTAGTATTTGGCTGTCCTGTGAACATTGATTCTAAAAGTAAGTTGTCAAAGAGATATGATAGGTAACAATAGGCTCATTCTTCTGAAATGTGGTAACAAATTCCCGAAAATCTTTTTTTGATAAAAGGATAACTTAGTCAACGATTATCACAACATTTCTTCAAAGTAAATAGATAAATGAATAAATAAAATAAATAAATAAATAAATTGGGGATAAAATTGTAATAAGGGAAAGATCGCCTTAGCTCATTAATACTAGAAATATATTAATAAATGCCTTTTACTTAAATCGTCATAGTATAATATTGTTCAGCTAAAGAACCGAAAAATGTATTTCCCAGTAAAACTTTTATCGCAATAGCGGATTTCTCCTAATATAACGTAATCGTTATATCGAACTTTTATTGTATTTGCTTTTTGCTTTGTATGTGAGAGGAAACATATATTGGAAGTTACCTGTACTGACGATACTTTTTTGAGAAGAATTTGGAAATACACAATCCGGAACTTTCGTCTTCTTAATGACGTTTAAACTACCATCGGGGCTTATCACAAATCCAGACTCTAGTCTAAAAAAAAATAGAATAAATAATAATTTACTGCACGAAATAAATACGAATGCAATATTCAGTGCACCAGTGATCTCCAACCTTTTTATCGCCAGTCTGCGGTCCTGGGGTTGGAGACCACTGCTTTTCACGATATTCTTTTTTCTAATGGCAGGCACTGAATTTGAATCTTTGCCTATGAAGATGCCGGAATTGTTGCTCATTTAGCGTTACCCAGTGGGCACCTGTGAACCAAAGTCCCGAATGCGAGCAACGTTGCCCACGTCACACTGCCACAAACCCGTTTATAGGATGGGCTACATTCACACACACACACAACAGAGGACAGCACAAAGAGCGAGAGAAACATCCATGCCCAGAGCGGGATTCGAACCCGCAGCCAATGGCTTCGCAGTCAGACGCGCTAACCGCTCGGCCATCTGGCCGGCGCTTTTCACGATATAATATTGTTTTTTCTT